AGAGAACGGAAAAGTTCAGACTCAAACTGACGTCCGCGGTCTGTAGTGATGGCTGAAGGGCAACCGAAGTTTGCTACCCATCGTTCGACGAAGGTGCGAGCCATTGTTTTAGCAGTGATGTGCTTGATAGGTACTGCTTCTGACCATCGAGTGAAACGATCTACACAGGTTAAGAGGGAAGTTTATCCATTTGAATCTAGTAAAGGTCCTACCAAATCCAAATGAACATGATCGAAACGAACATCGGGAGTTTTAAATGAGCCTAAGGGACATTTATCGTGTCTGATGACCTTAGATTTTTGGCAGCTTACACAGGAGCGTGCCCACTCCCTCACGTCTTTATTCATGCCAGGCCAGCAAAACCGTTCTGATGGTGATTGATGATGTTTGCACGAACACCTGGATGAGAAAGTTTGTGCAATGTGTTGTAGACATTGCGTCGATAATGTTTCGGCACGATTGAGCGATCCCTACCTGTAGATGTGTCACAAAGTAAGGTTTCCTTACCTGTTCCCATCTGTTTGATGCCAAGCTTGAGTGTTGTAGACGAAGATCAGTGTCTTCTTTTTGAAGCTGGGCGAGTTGAGGAAGGTTGGTTCTTTGGAAACTATTCAAGGAAGTTATGCGAGACAAGGCGTCTGCAACTACATTATTTGTTCCAGAAATATGTTGAATATATGAAGTAAACTGCGAAATGTATTCCATTTGTCGAGACTCATGGGGAGAGTATTTGTCTGTAGGAGAGCTTAGAGAGAAGGTGAGTGGTTTATGGTTAGTGAAAAGAGTGAATTCGCGGCCTTCGATACAATGTTGAAAATGTCGCACAGCACAATACATAGCTAGGAGTTCCCTACCGAATTTGCTATACCTCGATTCGGTGTCTAGCAACCGTCTACAGAAAAATGCCAATGGTTACCAGAAGTTGTTAACCCATTGTTGCAAGACTCCTCCGATTGCTGAGTCGGATGCGTCTACTGCGATACTAATAGGTGCTCGGGTGTCCTGATGTGCGAGCACTGTTCCTTTAGCTATGAGTTACTTAATTGTGGAGAATGCTTTTCGTGCGGTGTCGTCCAAATTAATGGATTTCGCATCTCCACGAAGTTGGTGGGTTAGAGGTTTAATGAGTATAGCGCATTTAGGTACGAATCGTCTATAGAAACTTGCAAGGCCGTTAAACGTTAGTAGTTGCTTGATCGTGGTAATCCGAAGTTGCCGCCACTTTGGTCATAAGGGGTTGAATGCCTTGAGTATCTATAGTGTGTCCTAGGAAGTTTAATGAGTCGGTTCCGAATTGGCATTTCTGAACGTTTACTGCAATGCCATGTTTTTGTAGTCGATCGAAAACAAGATCCAGGTGCTTGACATGCGATTCTCTGTCCGGACTTGCTTTTAGGCAGTCGTCAACATACGCATGTACGAAGTTGAAACCTCGAAAAACGTCGTCTATGAATCTTTCGAATGTTTGCGCAGCGTTTCTTAGACCGAAAGGCATTCGCAAAAATTCATAGAGTCCACAGGAAGTAATGATGGGAATTTGGTTATACGCTTTAACGAAGTCGATTTTCGAAAAGACAGTTGTACACTTCAAGGTAGCTGTCAAATAGTCAATGTGAGGCAACGGGTAACGATCGGGAATGGTTTTTGCGTTCAATCTCCGATAGTCGCCAGTTGACGCCAGTCGTTGCTGTCCTTTTTAGGGGCCATTTGCAACGGAGATGCATATGGGCTATTTGACGGTCGTATGATTCCTAAGTCTATCATGTGATCGAACTCATTTTTTGCCAACCTTAGCCTTTCACGGGCTAGTCGTCGTGCTTTAGAGAATACATGTGGTCCTGTAGTAGTGATGTGATGTGTAACGTTGCTGGTTACACACGGCAATTTCGATTACATTTGATGGATCACAGGATACCTATCGAGTAGTATTTGATAAAGTGGGTCTATCATATGCTTAATTGTGACTGAGGATAATCTGCAACCAGAAAAAGAAGTTGCAAAAACGGATAATTTGGTGTTTCCATCTACTAGACTCCGTTTTCGCGTATCGATGATCAGATTATGGTGTTGTAGAAGGTACATACCAATGATTGGCATAGAAACATCTGCAACAACGAAGACCCAGTGAGTGGGTTTGCGTAAACCCACGTTAAGGTAAACGTACCTTTTGCCATAAGTAGCGATAGGTTTTCCGTTTGCCACCTGTAAGTTTAAAGCCGATTCATGAAGCCGGTCGTTGGGATTCGCTGGGAGAACGCTAAATTCTGCGCCAGTGTCGACTACGTAGAGAACTCTCGTTGTCGCATCTGTGACGTATAACAGACGGCTATGTCCGCCGGCTACGGTTGCCGTTAACGCGTGCCGGCTTAGAAGTTTCACGAGTTGTTTTTCGAGTCAGATGGTTTCGTGTTAGGAAAATTGCAGGGTTTTCTGCAATTTCTGGAAGACTTTCCATACAGGTTATGATACCAGCATCAGTCAGGGTTATCCTTCTCTTGTGGTCTAGAAACAGATCGCTTACGTGAAATGGTTCTACGTGTGATGTGCGATAGCTTAAGGTCGTTACGAAAATTAATATAACGTGTAAGTGCATGACATAACTCGGTTATGTCATTCTGAGTCGTTTGATGCTCTTCTTTGACCGAAAAAACTTCGGTAGTAGAAGATTTCGTAATTTCTAAGATACGATCGACAGATGAAGCCAGTTCGCCTAAGGCGTTGTTATGAAACGAGACTAGAACCGCTTGCACCTGTTGGGGAAATTTGAACAAGAAATGTTGTTTAAATAAGCCTTCTTCGAAAGTTCTTAAGCCTATCATCTCTCTCATCCTTTGCAACATGTCCGTCGCAGAACCGTGCTGCGGGTCTATGTTATTAAGGAGTTGGTCTAACCGTTGTCGATCGGTTAGGTCTCCTCGTTTAAGAATCGAACGCTATAATGTTTCGTAAGGTTCAGAGACATCACTAGTAAACATACTAGGTGTTACGTACCTGTTGAATTCCCGCGATAGTGACTGGACTACTGGGGGGAATTGTGCACGTGTGTCGTTCACGCCGTGCTCGTAGAAGTCGGCTTCTGCCTAACAGAACCAGGCTTCGATATTGTCGGGCCAGAAGGGCACGAGTTGGAACGAGGGTGGTGACATGGTCTTAATCTTAAATACCTTAGGAGTCTGTTCGGTCATAGGGAATATTAAGTACGAGATTATGAGAAAAAAATATAAAGATATCCTGAGACGCGGGGAAAAATATCATAATATATAAAGAATTAAAAAATAAGGCAATAATATATAAAAATCCGAAAAAGGAACAGACTTACAGTTGCAAGTAGGTGTACCAGATCACGTCGGGCTCATCAATGAAGATGGCAAAGGTATTCAGTGTTTGACAACGCTTTTACCAGCAACACCTAATATAATTTGTACCCACTGAGAGAAATCAAAAGACAGATTCGAGGAGACCGAAAGAGTGTATTTGGTGATAACCAATAAATCGGAATTCTCTGATGTATACTGGCTAGCGATTGAGGTAGATGTTGAGCACAGCGTTACCACACGTGATCTGGTGCGGATGCATGACCGAGCGCCTTCAGCTACATGAGTCCACTAAAACATATGGTCGGCATCCAATGTCGAAAAATTACAGAGCTAGTTAGTTTGTGGATTTATTAACCGCTACAGTCTCGTGCATTTTTGTACATAATTTTATGTTTTTAACGACCATGGGTCTGACAGTATTTGTTTGTTTGTCTCGAGGTTGATTGAACAATTTGTAGACACTTTCAACAGCTGTAATTGTGCGCTCGACATGATCACGATTATCGTAACGTTTAGACAGACAAGTTTAGTATGGATATTGTTGATTGATTAATCCGATTAGTGCATATAGTTAAGAGATTATGGTAAGACCATGATGTATATACAGCATCCGAGCAATACTAAATTGGCTTTGAGAAAATTCAACCAATTATAAGATTTAAAATAAAGTCATGTGTGAAAACTTATGTTTTGAGTCGCTTAATCACGTCACATATAATTCCAAAACCCCATATAATCGTGCGGACTAATAAAGTTTGCATCAAAATACAATGTAGTCTACATAAAATCATCTATCGTTGCAGGTGTTATCGAAAAATCTCATGCACTCTGATAACGGCGTTTTGATGTTAACCTGAAATAGCCCAAATCGACACTAAATAGACAGGATGAGGTAGTTTTTTGTGTATTGAAGTTTCGTCTTTCTAAATGATGGGGGCAGTGGTTCTATAAATTATTGACGATCTAATCATCCCGAGCTGCCAACTTTGGGGAAATCCCCAAAATGAAATAGTCTTCCCCAACGTTTGGGGAAATTTTGGGGGTTTGGTCTCATTTCCCCAAAATTTACTATAGCGGCTTCCCCAAAATTGGCAGCTTGGGATATTTCGCAGTATAAACCTGAACTACATAAAACACCATTTTTACTCCCATATATACAGTCTCTACTGTAGGATATTAGAAAAAAGCTTAATAACATTTAAATATACAGAATCCCTCTCTTCCTTCTTGAACTATAGGTGAGGATAAAACTATAAGGTTAAACTTGATAGTTTATGCTGTCACGTTTTGTTATCAGCTATACACTCATTTAAATTTTACTTGACAAGCTAACCTAGTTGTTGCGCATCACCCTAGTGTGATATTTCTGGATGTAGTTTTCAAACTTCACTTGTTGTTTGGAAAAAACTAACGGGAATCTTAGTATTTTATCAGCTTGTTCTTTGACGGAAACACTGGAACCTTTCGCGGTAAGTAACTTCGTAGGGGATATAGTGCAGAAGATAAATCACTGTGGTAAGTATTGAAAGGTGTTCCCATTCTCATCTTTCAGGTTCTAAATTGAGCTTGAATGTCTGACAATTTGTTGAAAATCAAACTTGGAACAAAATAGATTGTTTGTTTGTTATTTGATGTATAAGCTTGTTGGGTTGGTATTTATATTTCCATTTACTTTAAGAATCAGTAATCATCAACAAGAAACAGCCATTCAGTTGTTACGAATATTCATCCACTTGACACTTGAGATTTCTCAGGTGTTTAGAATAGTCACGTTAGTCATCTACAACGTAAGACCAGGCACATGTATGCATCGGTCCAAGCACAACAAGATGAACGCCGAATTCGTAAAAGTAGTTACATCGATGGTACTAATATATAGAAAAAAGATTGGAAGTAAGTATAGAGTCTAGGAAGAAAGAACTGTTCTGTAGAAAGAGGGATATAAAGTGATTTTAATCTCTTATTTTAAGGTGACATAGAGAATGTATACACCGACGCCATTGTGATCGGTTCTGAGCCATGTCACTCAGTCTCCAACCATTGGTTACGATAGTCACGCGGACTCCAACCACGTGGTCTGCATCTTACTCAATGTTTTAGATTGTCATTCATATTAAGAAGTCATTATTTTGTGAAAAACTTAAAAATGATCTTTATTTATTAACTAGACCACTTCGTGTAATCCCTTGAATACATCCGAACATTTTCAAAGCTAAGGTATTATTGAGTAAACAGGCAATAATATTAACGTCTCATTAGTCAATACAACACAAGGAAAGTCACATGAACTTGCGTCGTAATACTCTTGATTTTCACCCAACTATTCAAACACATAGTTTTTGGTATAATGTATCACCAATTACATATATACAGTTACGATGCAGTTTCATTCACTATAGTTGCATATGTAATAATCTTGATTTTTTGTTTGATAGTGCACAAATGACCGCTTATAATGTATTATATATAAAGAGCTATGAAAACAAGAAGTGCTCTCTCGATGTTCTGAACTGTGTCAATCATATTCAGAAATCATTAGATCGTGAGATGGCTCTTAAAGGTCCTAGTTATTTAGCTGGATTATTTCGTCTAACTCCTCAGATACAGTCAGGGGTTTTTGAAGCCAAACAACCAAAACCGAAAACATCTTACGAGTCAATACAACACAACGAAAGTCAAACGACCTTTTATCGTAGTATTCCGTCCATATCGGATGACCCAAATTCCCAAGAATCCTTACAAATAACTTCTGAGGTGAGTTTAATCATGGGCTACAATGGTTGAAAAATCAGGAGTTAATAGTGTAATTGATTGATACCTACCGGTGCAAACTAAAACTAATGCTAATAGATACGGTGTAGTTTTACGATAATTTGAGAAACCAAGATGCTAATAATTGAATATGTTAATTAAGTCACCTTTTATTCTTCTCTGAACCCTTTCCAAATATGTATCGTCCATAAACCTAATTCTGTTTGATTTTGTTTTGACCTGATGGTTTTCTGCTTTTTAAAGCTATGACAACCCAAACAAATAAGGTGTAATCAACTTCCTTAGTCTGGTTTTGGCTGTTTAACCTAGAAATTAGCAGATTTATTCGTGCTAATTTATTATAGTTGGTTTCATATTTGGTTGTAGTGTTGATACGGTAAAATTGCATAACAGACGTTGATCACTTTCGTTGAAGAAGTAACCGAATCTGATCGTAGGAAACAACCTTATTCTGGCCTGTTGAAAAACTGTAGAAATAGTATATTTTCCATCCATACATGTCTCAGTTTATGGTGAAAATGATGAAATATAAGCTTACTTTAAAACATCTAACTTTCATAACATTGTAATATACCTATTTTCGTACCCTATAATCCTTCATTACCTAACATTTCGACAATGGAAATTATCTCGCTTGACTGGATGTCCGTTGAACAATATAACTGCCGTACAGAATGTTGGATAATGGAAATTATCAGATATAGTGTATTTTTTCTGTTTTATCGAAACTTATAGAATTTTCTCCAGGTTCCTCATTCAATATGTTGTAAAGTTGGCACTATTAAGGTAGATATGTATTTTGCATCAATTCCTTATGGATACGGTAAGGGTGGTTTTTGCTAATAACGTTCAGTGTAACATATTGAAGTCAGTAGTTCCTTTTGTCAATCCAGTTTAAACTATAAGTCACACTTATTATATAGATGAGTGTGATTTCTTGGAACGTCTGCGAGCGTTAAAATAATATATGCATTCTTTTCTATGAACTGTGCGCTATACCTCAGAAACGTTTTTGCTTTCAATGCATAATACGTATCAATAAGATAAATTTAAGTTGTGAAAATATAAAGAGGAAATTTATAGGTACATTATTCAGGTTATGTCATCAAAATAATTGTTAACTAATTGGGCCGAAAGTTGGTGTAGGTTGGTAAAGCACTTGAACACAAAGTTCCGGTTATTTTTATCCGAATAGCTATTATCTTAGACGTTTGAAGAACTCTTAGTCGGACGGATTTAGGCAGATAACTATTAAAACGACATTTTACTGTGAATCATTCCTTCGTGCCAGCTTTAATTACTACTTTTATTAAACAAGCCAGGATTGAGTTGTTAATAGTTTTAACTGTACAGGGAGACGCTCGCGGGAACGATAATGCAGATTTGTGGGTAGATAAAAATCAGCAATTAATGACTGACTTTATGTTGTTTTTAGATTGTAATTGTTCCTATTCTGACTCAGACATTATTATCAACATACCTATATGACTTATGGTATTGTTTCAATCCAAATATCGAAACATGTAATGGAAATCAAGCAAAATATGAATCAAATTTCGCAGCTTTTTATACTACAATCTTTTAACATTCGTTAAACAGTTAAACCTATTTATTTTATTTCACTTATGTGTTATATTGGCTCCTTAATGGTTAACATGTTTGTCTACCAGTCAGTGGGTTATCCTTTTTCAAACCTTCTTTACTAGGTGTTAAACAATACAGTCCTGTATAAAATTGAATATTCATTTTAATCAATTTAGTGTAATTCTGTAGTGAACGAGAACACAAATAGGGACGATGGAATGTAGTTCAATACAAAATTACAAAATCACTGTGAAATCTAAAAACCTTCTAGTAAATACTTCATTTACAGAATGCCAGTCAATCGTCTTAGACTTCATTGTTCTTTCGTTTACACACCAATCATTCTCTATTCTCGCTCTATTTCCATCGGTCATCATAAACTTCTACCTCCAGGCAATCCACTTTTGATGGATGATACATACTACTTATATCTGTCGACATCAGTAGCATAACCCACACAAATAGTATGATATTCTTTTGATTGTTCAATTTTTCTTTTTTTGTTGAAAAATTTAGGTCCAAAATGTATTCAATGAAAAGATTCCATTATGTATTATTACACAAATCGATAGAAATTTACCATGTGCTAAAACAATGAAATCTGAATATCATCATCAGCAAGCATCAACATCTCATTCTACATATGAGAATAGAGATTATACAAATAGTTGTCGTTCTTTATTATCAATATCTAGTAACAGAGAAATTAGCGATATTGCACCATCCGTTTTAAAGGTATGTGTATGGTGATTGTAATTTCTTGACGATTTTGTTTTGCCAAAGTTATGATTTTCATGATATTATTTTTACCAGAGTAGAAGATAAGAGTATAGTAGAACAGTGTGCTATGCTTTTTATTATTTTAAGCTTGGCATTTTTGAAGTATGGTTAGACTTTTCAGTCATTCATTCATTCATAAACGACGTAAAACTTGGCATTTATATGAGTCAGTTTAATCTGTCACACACATTGAGATCCCATAGTGTGAGGACGGTACATAAGTTTTCGAAGAAGCTACACATAGGGATCCTAGAATATTCTTCAAAAAGGTGATTGGATGTAATATCTTCGGCTCTTTCTGAGCTTCTTCTTCGTCGTCGTGTTTTGGGTTAATAAATCTTCACTTATACCAGTCTTTCTGTACTTAATTTCCCGTCGTGGGAATTTGCAGAGGTCTCTCGTTTCGAGCACAAGTGATAAGAGTTTTCGACATAATAATCAGCGACAACCAGATATAACAAATAGCATTAAATTGGCAAGACGTATCACATAGTAGTATAAGTAGTAACAGCTCCAAACGTTACTTACTTACTTACGCCTGTTACTCCTCGTGAAGGAACATAGGCCGCTCATCAGCATTTTCCATCCAACCCTGTCCTGGGCAATCCTTTCAAGCTCTTTCCAGTCCCTATTCATCCTTTTCATATCTGCTTCTATTATCCGACGTAATGTGTTCTTAGGCCTTCCTCTTTTCCACCTTTTTTCAGGATTCCAAGTTAGGGCTTTTCTCGTGATGCAGTTTGACGATTTGCGTAGTGTATGTCCTATCCATTTCCATCGTCTCTTCCTAATTTCTTCAGCTGGAAACTGGTTTGTTCCCTCCCACAATAGGCTGTTGCTGATGGTATTCGGTCAATGGATGTTGAGTATTTTGCGAAGACAGCTATTTATAAATACTTGTACCTTTTTGATGGTGGCTGTTGTAGTTCTCCAAGTTTCAGCTCCATACAGTAGAACTGCCTTGATGTTGGTATTGAAGATTCTCACTTTGATATTGGTTGAAAGTTGTTTTCAGTTCCGTATGTTCTTCAATTGTAGGAATGCCAATTCTTGCCTTTACATCTGCGTCTGAGCCTCCTTGTTCATCGATGATACTTCCTAGGTATGTGCAGGATTCCACATCTTCCAGAGTTTCGCCATCAAGAGTGATTGTATTGCTGTTCTCCGTGTTGCATTTGAGGACCTTGGTTTTGCCTTTGTGTATGCTGTGGCCTACTGATGCAGAGACTGCTGCTACACTGGCTGTCTTTGTCTGCAGCTGTTCGTGTGTATGCGATAGGAGGGCTAGGTCATCTGCGAAGTCCAAATCGTCTAATTTTTTCTGAGTTGTCCATTGTATTCCGTCTTTTCCTTCAGATGTCGAGGTCCTCATAATCCAGTAGCCTACCAGAAGAAAAAGAAAGGGAAAGAGTAAACAGCCTTGTCTGACTCCGGTCCTTACTTGGAATGCATCTGTCAGCTGTCCTCTATGCGCGACCTTGCACTGTGGTCCGTCATATGAGTTCCGGATAATATTGGCAATCTTCTCGGGAACTCCACAGTGTCGAAGAAGTTTCCATAACGTCCTCCTATCCACACTGTCAAATGCCTTTTCATAATCAATGAAGTCGATGTACAGTGACGAGTTCCACTCAATTGATTGTTCGACGATGATCCGTAGTGTCGCAATTTGTTCTGTGCACGACCGGTCCTTACGGAATCCAGCTTGTTGATCTCGAAGTTGGGCGTCTACTGCATCTTTGATCCGGTTCAGCAAAACTCTGTTAAAGACTTTTCCTGATATTGACAGTAATGTAATGCCTCTGTAGTTTTCACATTTGCTTAGATCTTTTTTCTTTGGAATCTTGACGAAGTGCCCTTCTTTCCAGTCCATCGGCACTTGTTCCTCCTCCCAAATCTTTTTAAATGGAAGGTAAAGCATGTTTGTAGTTACTTCGATGTCTGACTTCACTGTTTCAGCTGGTATATTGTTGGGTCCTGCTACTTTCTCTCTCTTGATTTGTCTGATGGCCATTCTGATTTCTTCCATCGTTGGTGGATTGATATATTTAGGGAGATCTGTGTGTGCTGCTTCGATGTCCGGTGGATTCATTGAAGCCGGCCTATTCAGGAGTGCCTCGAAGTACTTTACCCATTTGTTCCACTGTTGTTGAATTTCAGTGATTGACCTGCCTTCTTTGTCCTTGACCGGTCTCTGGTTTACTATATTACCCTGCTACTTTCTTCGTTGTATCGTAAAGCTGTTTCATATTTCCTTCTCTATCAGCTTTTTCCGCCGTCGTTGCTAATTCTTCTACGTATTTCTGCTTGCCGGCTCTAATACTCTGCTTCACTTGCTTGTTTGCTTCCATGTATTCAACTTGTGCTTGGGCTTTTTCTGCTCGTGTTCGGCTGTTGTCAATTGCTGTCTTCTTGTTCTTTCTTTCTTTGATCCTGTCCAGTGTTTCTGTAGGATTCCATTCCTTATGATGATGTTTCTTCCAATCAAGAACCTCTTGACACTTTGGAGTTATTATTTTTTTTTATTATTAGAAGCTTTATTCAACATTATATTTTTGGTACAACATAGAATTCTCAGCACATAGTATTTCAACAAGTTTCCTTTTCTTATCCCTTGATCGATTGTGACGATAGATCTTGAATGATGACCAGTTACATGTTAAGAGTTCGGTAATCCACATTTGATTAATGTTCATTCGTTTCAATGCATATTGCCAGCCACCATGATGTCGCTGATTGTACCTTTTTGTATCCCGTATAGCGAAAGGTTGTAAACTTTTCATAAACGCGCCTGAATAGATTGTGCGCACAATAGACATAATGATGTGCTAAAACAAACAACAAAACAGATAACTTGATGAAATTTATAGGTCGTAGGAACAGATAGCCCAGATATTCAAGCAGGCCGCCAAAGTTACCACTACAAAGTTAATGCTTGTTCGATACCTTTCCAGTTGTTGAAATCTATCTTGAATTCATTGAGTTTGTTACTATCTCGAAGGAAGACTGTACTGAACCTTTGTAGTGCTATTTGTCCAGTACTTCATTAGCTTCAGTTTTAAATTGGACACAACTAGGTGGTGATCTGAAGCTATATCAGCTCCTCTTCTGCTTCTCACATCTTCCATTGTCCTTCGGAACTTTTTCTTGACGCAAATATGATCTATCTGGTTCTCTGTAGTGTGGTCCGGTGAGATCCATGTAGCCTTGTGTATGTGCTTGTGTGGAAATATTGTGCCCCCTATGACCAATTTGTTGAATGCACATAGATTTGCAAATATTTCTCCATTTTCGTTTCTCTGTTCCAGTCCATGTCGTCCCATGATATCTTCATATCCGGTGTTGTCTATTCCAACTTTGGCATTTAGATCTTCCATCAGAATGGTGAGGTCCTTTATTGGGCACTTCTCTATGATTGACTGCAGCCGCTCATAGAATTGATCTTTAAAATCGTCGTTGCTATCATTGGTGGGTGCATAACATTGGATAATATTCATTGTGATCCCCTTCTTCTTTGTTTTGAATGATGCTTTGATGATTATGGATCCGTGAGATTCCCATCCTACAAGTCCATTTCGTGCTACTTTGGACAGCATTAGAGCGATTCCCTGAGTGTGTGAAGCATCTTCTTCGCGGCCGGAGTATAGCAGCATCTCTCCCGTAGCTAGCCTTTTCTGTCCAGCTTGGGTCCAGTGGGTTTTGCTGATTCCCAGTGCTGCTAAGTTGTATCTCCTCATTTCCATTGCTATTTGACTGGTCTTCCCGGTTTCCCACATTGTTCGAACGTTCCATGTACCTATAAAAACTGTAGCTCTGGTTGTTAGAAGGAGCATTGGCCTCTTGGCTTCCGAAGAAATTCAGTTTTCACCATGAAGCGTCATAGTTCTTCTAAATGAAGACCTTCTAACTTTCAGGGCAGATTTAAAATGATTTGAATTATTTTTTCTGGTAAGCGTTTTTTTAGCGAGTTAGTTTTCTACGGGATTAGGACGCTAACCCCATGCCCAACCCTCCTTTACCCGGGCTTGGGACCGGCAGTAACTCTAGAAGACCTACAGGCGGAGTTAGTTCCAAACGTTAGCAGACAAGTTTAGGCATAGAAGATATAGTTGGCGAACGTACAACATCATATAGACAACAACTTGTAATCCAATTTTATTAAAATGATGGATAGATTTGTAGATTAGTAACTTCCTAGTCTAAATCCTCAAATTTAATCACTACTTCATGCCAGTGTTCCCACTTTTTGTAGACACGAAAACACAAGTTGTTAGTTGAATATCAGGAAGCGATGGAACCAATAACTTCTATTGATATCCCATTGGAATATGAAGAGAAACTTATTTCTTTATTGAAATAATATTTTACATATAATAATAATATTGATATTAAATGGATAATATTTTGACAAACTCTTTATATTTATATACTACTTTCTTGGTAATCTGTACAGAACTGATGATTCTTATTATTATTATCATTTAGTGTTCATGTAAATATGATCTTAATTAAATTGTTGGCATATTTTTTTCTAGTGAAGTATATTTATTTATTTGAAAACATAAATATTGGTATAAAGAGGCACCGAATAGTTATGCGCCACACAACTCACTTGATTTGTGTGTGACTTGTGGTACTGCTCGAGTGTTCAGACTGAAGTAGGTGGGTTTCTTAGAGGGTCACACTCCGAGCCTTCGACCTAAAAGTCTGATACACAAGGCAGTGAAACAACGTCAGGAGATACAGTCCTATGGTGGCTAGTGACCAACAATTAATTCAAACGCAATTTGTTCCCTCAGGATCCTGGAGCCCATTTGCACCATTGGTTTGGAATCAAGGTTTTCCAACTCCTCTAGGTGGACTCTCCGTGTCTATCAATTCAGCTAAAGCGTCAAGCACTCGGTTTTTGTCCTCTCAATTCATAGACAAGAGTAGCGCCGCGAGAAGGCAGTGAATAGGACTTCCCTGCGAATGGCTGTATACGCGTGTCCATGTGAGAACGTTTCGAGAGGGAGAGCTGACTCTTCCCACCCTCGACCGTACCAGGGCATTTGGGGGCTTTTTGTAAGAAAGAGAATTTTTTACCTTTGTGTACTGATGCCATGTTTTGGTTTGGCCACCCCTTACTTTCATCCAACCGTCTCCAACACTAGTCAGAAATGCGCGTCGTGGTAATTGGTGTTCAGGCATACACAACGCGATGTCCCAACCATCTCAGTCGATGAAGATTCACAACCTCATCAACTGATTTACCATCATTCCCTAATACCCTGCGTTTAACCTCACTATTACTTACCCAGTGATCCCAGCAGTTGTGAACAATATTTTTAAGGTATCTGTGGTCAAATATTAGTAGCTTACGAGTATCTTCTACTCTTAATAGGCACATTTCGCAGCCGTAAATTAGGATAGAACTAATTGCCGCGCGGTATACTCGTCTCTTAATTGATAGACGGATTTCTCGCCTTCGCCATAGGTGACGTAATTTGGCAAAAGCCAAAGGAGCTTTTCGGATGCGTACTGGAATTTCGTCAGACACCAACCCATTAGGACTGATCAGACTTCCAAGATAAGTGATGTTGTCAACACGTCCGACTACTTCACTCCCTATCCTTAGTTCAGGTGTTGACGCAGGCCAATCCTGAAAGCGACAACTTGCATTTAGAGGAAGAGAAACCTATCCCAAAAATCCTAAAATTGTTGCTCAGTGCTACCAAAAGATTGCATTTTATCGGCCTCGTCACCAAACAAGTCTATGTCGCATGCGTATTCTAAGTCGATAACCTGACCTCCCGGTAGAAGAGCAATTACTTAACATTCAGATAACGATAACGTTATTTCCAGCAGTAGGTCTATGATGATGTTAAACAAAAGTAGAGAAAGTTGACAGCCTTGACGGACACCACTTGAGGTTGCAAAATCAGATGACACTTCGGCAACAGAAAACGGAAATGTTAGCATTTCCCTCGAGCACATTGCTTAAATGTTGCCAAAACTACGTGAATATGTTAAATTGCCGACTGTACTACTCGTAGACATCCAAAATGTAAGGTACTATTTATGTCTGGAATTATTAGGGCAGCCAAAAGATATTCCTTGAAAAGATATAAGTATTCAAAATTCCTATTGAATGTATACATGGCAAATTTCCGTAAGAGTCTCATCAATTCCGTTAATCCATAAATCAAAAATTTATACAGCGGCTAGAAAACAAAAATATGATTATTCTACTAATGATTCGTTTACAAAAAATGGCTATCCTTCATATTTCGATAATGCAATGAGAAGACGTAGTTTATCAGAATTATGTGATATATTTGCGCAATACATTTCGAACAATCTGATCACACATATACGTGTTAAGAACATTTATATAAATGAAAAATTAAAAGGTCAACTAGACAGGTTAAGGGTAAGTCATAACAAAGGAAAAATATTAAAGTACACAAAATCAAATGTGATTACCACTCTGGATAGTAAATCAGTACTACCAGGGTAGGTTAAGTGTTAGTACAAATTGTTTTTGAACACATAAAGGGGGTTTCAATTTCCGTATAGCCAAGGCTTCAATAAACCTTAGTATACGTCCTTGAAGGCTTTTGTACAAGACAACAAATGCTGATTTGATATCAACCTTATGACCCGTTTCAATCAAATGTTTCGCAATGGATGATGATGTCTGTCTATCCTGTGATCTTATTTCACCATTGGAATTCATTTGATTTTGCAACCATTTTGGTATATGTTCACTCACCCTTAATTGCAAATCACGATTGCTCCTCCCTACGTACGTGTTTCCACACATACATGTAAATTTATAGACACAATGGGATGTGACACAATCGTTTTCATGCTGTTTGGGCTTTTGGTGAAACATAGACCTTGTCTTTTCGATAATAACAAGTTGCGCTGCATAAAATGTCCGGTTGATAGCTAATTTAAGTCTCTGTTTCAACATGAGACTATTTGTGTCACCTCTGAATGGTAGCGTAATATAAACTCGCTTTTTGGGTGCCAGAAGTGTCATAGGTCTAGGCATATTGCAACCCTTCCAGCGATTTATGAACTTCAAAGGGTAACCATTATTAATTAACGCATCAGTCAAGAGCTTCATCTCTACTTCAATAGTATCACTAGTACAAATACGATTGATTCTATTGAATAAGCTCTTTATTAAACCGCGTTTATAATGAATAGGGCAGTGACTATGAAAATTGAGATATTGTCCTGTCCATGTTGGTTTTCTATATGTAGCACGTTTGATGGAGCCATCATCTCTCCTAGTAATCAGGATGTCAAGAAAAGGAAGTTGGTTGTTCTTCTCTTCTTCACATGTAAGAGAAATGTGCTTTTGACTACTATTGAATTCTTCTAACAAGCAGCTTATGTCTTCAATTTTATCACCTATGATTATGATGTCATCTACATATCGTTTATACAGACCCATCTTTCGAATTGAGTCTCCAACTAAATTTTCTACATATCCCATGAACACATCGACCAGCAATGGTCCTAGAGGGCTGCCCATAGCTACACCATCTATTTGTCTGAAGTGTTCACCTTCAAATGTGAATTTTACATTATCTGTACATAATAATAATAAATCTTTAAGAGTTTTAACAGGAAAAGGCAGTGGAAGGTTATTCGAAGAAATAAAGTCACACAAAATATCAATGGTTTTCCTAAGAGGTACATTTGTAAATAAAGTGTTCACATCAAAGGAACACTTAGTCTTTGTGTACATGTCCTTCAAGTGATTAATTAATTCAAATGAGTCAGTCAATGAATACTTACAATATTGATTTCTGATAGGGTTTAATAATTTTGTAAGCCATTTTGCCAGGTTGTGTGTAGGTGACCGACACATAGATAGAATTGGACGTAGGGGGGTATTAGGCTTATGAATTTTCGGTAATCCATATAAATTAGGATATGCCGATCCCATAGGTTTTAATAAATTAAACTCATCTTTGTTAATAGCATTCATGTTTAACAATTTTCCAAGATTCGAGTTCACTTTCTTTTCTAATTTACGTAATCCATCAAAGTCAACATCAGCCAAAAATTTGCTTTTATCACTGAGAATGGATTCCATTTTATTTTTGTAATCTGACTTATTCATAATAACAACACCAGATCCTTTATCGGGTTTAAGTATAATAATATCGGCATTATTTCGCAATTCTTTTAATGATTTGAAGTGCTGAGAAGTTAATATGCTTCTCTGCTTTGGTCCAGAAGAATGAAAATGATGCGCTATATCCACTAGTTTGGCTTTAAACCAACTTTGATTCTCTAAGGACGAAGGGGTTAAAGTACTCAATTGATCATAGAGGTTTTCAAATTGGGCATTGACTGTCAATTCAGAGATTTGTGTTATAGGAACAGAAAATTTTAAACCCAAGGACAATGCCCCCTTTTCATGAACAGACAACACAATGGAGGACAAATTAGTGACATATTTATCAGGATTGATTGGGAAGGAAATGAGATTATTATTATTGCAGCAAAATTTTTCTAGCTTTTTCCTTATCCCTTCTTTTGTTTTCAAAATGACAGTACTACAAAAATTGATGAATTTGATATGGCAAACTATAGATAATTCTGTTAATACAGGTAATGCTTGAGTATGAAGTTCAATTAAATTGATCAACTTATAATGGCATTTGTCTATATACGATTTCGTCAGTCTAATAAGATTTGGAATATTTGGTTGTAATTTACTTGAACGAAGATTCTTATATAACTGAATCGGGAAAATGTGATTAGATAAGCAAGATTTATAAAAATCCAGTTTCACTCGTTCTGATATAATTTTGCACTTGAGGTTAACAAGTTCATCTAACCTTTTAATAATTTGCGCAGGGAGTCTTCTTTTCAGAAATTTAAAACAATTAGTCATTACGCAAATTATTAAAAGGTTAGATGAACTTGTTAACCTCAAGTGCAAAATTATATCAGAACGAGTGAAACTGGATTTTTATAAATCTTGCTTATCTAATCACATTTTCCCGATTCAGTTATATAAGAATCTTCGTTCAAGTAAATTACAACCAAATATTCCAAATCTTATTAGACTGACGAAATCGTATATAGACAAATGCCATTATAAGTTGATCAATTTAATTGAACTTCATACTCAAGCATTACCTGTATTAACAGAATTATCTATAGTTTGCCATATCAAATTCATCAATTTTTGTAGTACTGTCATTTTGAAAACAAAAGAAGGGATAAGGAAAAAGCTAGAAAAATTTTGCTGCAATAATAATAATCTCATTTCCTTCCCAATCAATCCTGATAAATATGTCACTAATTTGTCCTCCATTGTGTTGTCTGTTCATGAAAAGGGGGCATTGT